GATTGGTCCAATTCAACAATTCTCAACCAAATATTCAAATAATTTCACGTAGAGGGAAGGATTCTTTAGAGGGTGATTGATCGAATATCGAATGATCAACCTAAGTCTTTCAGAGAGGCCTTCACTAACACCTTCCTTTGAAAGAAGCGGAAGATTATACAATGTCCCCATCTACAGCCCAGTGCCACGGTAAGCTGCAAACAAGTCCTCTTTGCATGACGTCATCTTTACCTGGGAAAAGCCTCCATCTTCTTTTTAAAGGTATTCTTGTAGACGTATTTCCTTGCGTTGTAAGTAGCACATTATCCTATAAGAAGTAAAAAAGAGCATACACACATGAACATAAACTTTGTATGAGTTAACACTCCCCCTGACGAAAAAAATGTGACCCTCCAGAATTTTTTGATGCTGAAGGTGAAAGCTCGTTGACGACGCGCTTCCCCTTTAAAAACAAAAGAAACACGTCGCTTTAGCACGCCAGCCAACTTGCCTCATTATCAGTTTCTTTTGTTTCAGAGGACACGCTTGAGGCAATTAAGCGTGCGTGAGCAAGTAGAACAAAAGAGCCTATTAAAGTTTTTAAACAACAGCTGCGTTCGAAGTAGTGAAGTAGCACAATCACACTTTCAGCATGCGCAAAAGCACGCCATGTCGTTTATCTAAAGCTATACAGTACTGCTCAGAGTCTCGACTCTTGAATTACGATTTGAGTTAAGATTTTTGAAACTTCATTAGTCGAAAGGATTTCGAGAAAACAATTTATTTCTTCGCATGTACAGAAATTCACACCGCCCGTCAGTGCTTTCATGTTCGTGCACCTCTCATCTTACACTTTGACGAGTAAAAGTTTCACTTTTAGGCGAACTAAAAAAAAGGAAATGACTAACGACAGGTTGCTTATCTCAAATTTTGCGCAATTGTGTCTGTATAGTTTTGTATGAATGACATCTTGTCAATTATAAAATATGTTTGTTTTTGGTCCATAACTTGCACTATTTACAATTTGAAACCTGTTGACTCTTCTACACGCATTGCAACATTTTACTAATTATAAACAGGGACTTTCTATAAACCAAAACACGCAGAAAAAAAAGCATGATAACCATAGGTTTCTCCAAGACTATTTCATCGCAGGTCATTTTCCGACGAGATACCGTAAAATTCCGAAAGTAAGCCCCTCCATGTATAAGCCCCTACAAATATAAGCCCCCCAAACCCGTAAAGCAAAAAACGCGCCGTTAAATCGCCCCTCCAAATATAAGTCCCCCGGGGGCTTGCACTTGGATAATTGTCCTCAAATACAAAGTAAAACAAAGCAAAAACGGTAATTTACTTCCAACTATAAGGCTAGCCCAACTGATTTTGAAACACAAAATTCCCTCCGTAGGTAAGCCCCTCCGAATATAAGCCCCTCCAAAAATAAGCCCCTCAAAAAAGGCCTTTGAAAAATATAAGTCCCGGGCCTTATTTTCAGAATTTTACGGTATTTAAACTTGACTGTCGCGGAAGTCAAACAGAACAGACTGAACAGACATCTACATCTGCATTTATTAATTGTCAATGCTTTCGCATCAAGTCAATACAAGACAAGGGCTTGTTTGTTAACCTTTTACCAGCGACCAAACGTTTTTGTTTTCGTTTCAAAAGTGCCGAACAACGCAGGGAAATTGGCTTCGTCAGGTGCTAATTCGCTTCTTGTTATTTCGGGCGAAAAGTTATATCAGTTTACCGAATTATTCTAGCTCACAGAATCAGTGATCTATGTATCCATGGAGCAAAGTGTTATGATATTCATGTTCCCAAGTAATTCCCTGGTTTTACATTGCGCATCACCTAGTGCGCATAACAATGCGACTTAAAAGGTCGACGGTGGTTTTCACCGGTCGCCTTAAAAGAGGTAACAAAGCCCCTTTTGAAGTCCAAATGCTTTTAAGGGCGATTTTGATAACTCTACCCTGCTCAAAGGTGTTTGTCTTAAAAGTCGCCACAGTGGCGCAAAATGATTATTTGAAGCCGAAATTGTCCCTTTATTGTCATTTTGCGCTGAAACGAAAACGATGACCCCCCCTTTTTTATTTGTGCTTTGTACTCGCTATGGCTACACAAAATATATACTTTAAGGGGAAAAAGAATCTGGATAGTAGGAGTTGTGTTTTTTTTAGATAAGAATGACGCCAATTTCTGGGCCGTTAACAAAACCCGGATAAGATTGCTCGGATCGGATCGGATTGCGGATCGGATCGGACCGGCAATTCGCCTTAAATTCAAAGTTACACTGAAAGTGATTGCTTGTTGGTTGTTGTACGACTGAGAAGGACTCGGCTAGAGTAGAAAGGAGTGAAAAGACTTCTTGTTGTGGCATTTTGAGAGGTCATTCGCCTATTGAAAACAAGTGGTCGCTATAGCTATCGTACCTTGCTCATTCCCGCGATTTTCTTAAACGTCTCCTCTGAAAAGAAGCATTCAATTTAGGCTCAGTGAAAAACAAGACCAATTCAGAAGAGAGTAGAGATGGAAAGAAACACAAAATCAGCGCAATGAGAGATACTTAAATCTCTCCCCGCCATCTTCGATTTGGGCGATGAGACGTGACCAAGTCTCTTTTTGGAAATTGTAATCTTATGAAGTTATGCAACAGAAAATTTCCCAGTGCAATTCAGTTGAAAATAATTCTTTGCGCTGATTTTCAGGCTGCTGGTGAATTTTAAGCCTGGTGATACATGAGAAATGATTTTTTATAAACATTCAGTGAGAGAGGACTTACATATTTCGTTTCCAATTACAGGTTGTGGTTTTGCACTTTATTCAACCCTTTTTCCTGTGGAGTTGAAGTAAAAGCAAGAACGATAGGCTCGATAGCAACATATGAATTAGCTCAACTGATGCTGTCATAGAACTTCAAGGTTTGCGTGGAAACGTCGATCGATCTACCATGCGGAAAGTCTTACTATCTGTTTTTGGCCTTCTCATCAACATGGTCTGCGCTTCTAGCAACATTATTTACGACTCCATTTTCTGGGATCCTCAGAATCATTTGTAAGTAGAGATTTGTAGTGTGTATTCAAGTAAATATGCTGCGACGGTTTATACTGTCTGTCTCATTTATTATAAACCCGACGTGAGTATTGCCCAAGCTCTAATTCATAGGTTTCCTCCCGAACAGAACTAATTCTCAACTCTGTATTAAAGCATGTTTGCTTTCATCTTCAACCATTTTAATTTTCCTCGAACGGAAAGTTCATTCCGTGCTCTTGACTTAAAGGTTTCAAGTTTATTGATTCCATAAGTTCCAACAAAAGTGGCTTTTATCAAGCTAAATAAAAGGATATTAGATATTCGATACTTACAAAAATAGGAGTAACTGACAAGAATAATCCATGTCTAAACCCGTTCACTTTGGTGCAAGTTAAAGCTTACAAAATTCTTTCAAAATCTGTCACGAAGTGATGTCTCGAACTTTAATAGCGAAGGTTGTGCACCCAAAATTAATAGAGATCCTGCGATATTTTATTAACCTCAATCTTCAATAGATTTATTCCAATCAACCTAGTTTAAATCAAATTTAACCTGAAATCAAATCTGACCTGTAACATATATAACAAATTTTTATGGAAGCTGCTGCGACTTATGTACAGGTATATTGAGATGTGCGTTTGTAATCCTGTAAAGAATCCAGTCTGAAGGCAAAAAAAAGAGCTCCTGTAAAATAATACAGCTGTAAACAGGCTTTGCCTTAAAAGCCTACAGGAGCAAAAAAGCATTATTACATTATTTAACAGGAGCTGAAACAGAACTAGAGCTTGTCATGATTAGTCTACGATGTTGAAACTTAACCGTTTTGGTGGATAGGTAAGGATGGTTTAGGGATAGTCTATGACGTCACCCATTGTTATAATCTACAGAAAAAGTGCGTTCCTCCACACTAATTAAGTGCCTTCCTCCATATACTGTAGAATGAAGTGGATAGGTTTACTAATGAGCGTCTCTCTACTACAATAGGCACAATAGGCTTGCTCTGGCTTGTCCGTTAAGTAGCTTGAGCCCAGATTACAGACCGTCTATTAAAGGGAAAATAGGAATAAGAGAAGCGATCTCCTAGCAACGCGAGAAACGGCTTTCTATATCTTATTTAGCGCTAAAACTAAGATATATAAACAAAACACATGCACATATACACAAAGTGGAGCTGTAAACTCTCTATTTCAATTTTGTCCGACTATTACAGAACCGTTATCTCCTATCTATCTCGAGGAAATGAAAAACTATTCAAGTCTCGGCGTTTCACGCGCCGTTAGTCAGGTAATTATGCGAGTCCACAAGCCCACCGTTGCATACAAATTAGCTCTGCAGTAAAAAACCCAAGGGAGCATCTTGACGTATTATTATAAAAACACACCCCCAAAAAACAATTAATAAGTTAACAAGGATCAATTGAAACACGCGACTAATAATTGCTAGCAATAAAACCAGACACGTTTCTTAAGACAAGAAATCAACTTTATGACCCTTAATAAAAATAATTTCAAAAAGATTTAATTAATATATTTAAGATTCTATTAAAGTAGTCAAAGAAGGCAAGCCATCCTTTTTTTACACTGCGCACAATGTTTTACTTGCCCCTCTCCCTTTTCGTTTTTATTTCCCTCCTCCTCCTCCACAATTTTATTGTTTTCCCTCCTCAATCTTGTTTTCCCTCCACCACCACTACCGCCACATTTCTATTGTTTTCCGAGCTTCCCTCTACCACCACCACCACCGCCACATACTGCAGCATACTGCGATACCGTACCGTATTGCAGATTATTAGTAATACATCTACATGTTAACACAAAACTGATTTTTCACTTCAATATTTCCATAAATTCAGAGACGAGAGCCAAAGTTGTAGCACAGGATACATGACTCTTAAAGTCCGACTGCAATCTAAAGTCTTCTTCATATGTCCAAACAAAGCCACTGTGTTAGAAAAAACTTTAACAGCACCTCAATAATCTGCAACCATGTATGAAAATGACAGAAGTGTGTTTGACCAATGTAATACATCATTAAGCAATACTAGCAAACTTTTATTCAGTTGCGATGATCCAAAAGCATTGAAATATTTTCCTGTGGTATTTGCCGAATTTACAGCAGACCCAAATTCGCTGAAGTTTAAAGATGGAAAGAAGTATTATTTTATTGGTAAGTAATAGAAAGTCAATTTTACAGGACTGAGGGACCCAAATTATGGGCTGAAGTTTGGAGGGGGGAAGAAGTGTTATTTTAGTGGTAAGTGATGAGGAGTCGCATTTACCTTAAAGTTTCCACAGTGGTGACTCCCTGAGAGTTAAACGAACCAAGTTCTGTTTCTCTATATCACATAAAAAATTAATGCATGATCAGTGATGTTGAGTTTTATGTACTTATCATGTAAAATTGTGATGCCCAATCTAAAATCATTTGAGTCCCAGTCCAAACACCAATGATTTTACTGTAGTATCATGTATTGTAGCTACTTCTGGGCCTCTTTTTTTTATAAGATTGCTCTCTTGACTAACTTACTAACTAGGTTTTATTACGCTACATGTATATTACATAAAAGGATATTGTTCAAAATCATCTCCATGTCAAGTCAACAATTGTTTTGTATGTTTCCTCATTGTTTGTCTGTTGTAGGGACATCTGATGGCACATAGACACACCTCAATGACCCTAGTGGAGGTCACTGCAATGACACAAAAACGGAATATTTATGAAAATTGAAGTCTATGTCTGCAAAAAAAGTCATCTAACTCATACAGGTAATGTTCAATTACTACAGTGTAATTTAAAGAAGTGTTGAAGTACAGAGTACACATACTGTACACGTACATGCCATGTTAACTACATGTAAAAAGCTTTGAAGAAAAAACGTCAAGATGAAGTTGATACCCCAATAACTGCTTTTGAAGTTAGTTGAACTGTTTTGTGGTCACAGTCTGGCTTTAGACTGCCAAAACGTCCCATCATGCCATTTAAAGTTTGTGCACTTTGCAGCCTTCTCTTACACATTTAAAATATCAGTGTAGAAAGCAAAATGTTGGAAGAGTTTTTGTGTTTAAAAGTCACACAGTAGTCTCGGCTTTTACCTTTTGCTTTCTCTCCTTCCCTCTTCTTTCCGCTTCTTTGCCCATTTTCTTGTTATTTGCTGGGCATTTACTAGGCTTTCTCATTCTGGTGGAACACTTCTATGGAAAAGCTTTTAGGATTATAGGATTTGGTGGAAGGAAGTGCGGGTGGGTAATGGAACAAGATTTTTGTTAGAATTTTTGGGTCAACTTTTCATGGTGTTTGAACTTTTCTGCGGTCTTCTTGAGTAAATTGTGCTCATTCTGGCATGGCTGAAGGATCTTTTCCTCCTGCACAAATAAGACAAAGTTTTCCTCGACCGTTAAGACTGATGGTGTAACAAGTGGTGCAACCCTCGTTGGTCTGCACGGACAGGGGCGAATGGGTTAAGAAGGTTGTCCGGAGGGTCATGGGGTAATCTATCTTACTGAGAGTCAAGTAAAGGGACGAAAAAAAGGCAGGGGCCAACTCTAGGTGTCTGTTTTATTGAGGTGTTCATATTAAGAAGTGTCCGTTAAGAGAGAGTCGACTGTAAATAAATTCGTTAAAACAATTTTCCCAGATGAAGACTGTCCAGAAGAAGATGTGGGTGTCCTGAAATGTCGTGATAATCCAACTCCAACAACAGCCCTTCCTACAACAGTTCTGCCAACAACAACAACTTCATCATCATCATCATTCATATCATCAGTAATACCACCAACCAGAATCACTACTCAGGCACCTTTTACACAAGCTGCACACACATCTACAGCCAGTACAGTGGAGGTTAGCAGCGTAACTGAACAAAACTCATTCACAGAATCGACAAACACAACATCCACGGAGCTAGCCAGCAATTGTCAGCCACAGTCTGCTCTGCAAAGGGGTGATGACCGCTTGGAGACAGGTATGAAAATCAACAAGTGTTGTTATAGTAGTTTGTTGATTCTTATTTTCACAGACTTTTTTACTTTTGTATAAATAACGATCCAAGTCGCCGTGTGTGTTTTTGAGCATTATTTCTGTACAGTTCTATAAATTGTTGTCTAACAGTTTCTTGGTTGTTTAAAAGAACGTTTTCCTTTTGAAGCCCTCGTACAAGTTGCTTTTTTTCAATGTTCAAAAGCCTCGTGCATCAATAACCAAAATTTTCTTTGTACATACATGTAACACTTCCATGTGAACTGCGTAAGTCTTCATAATTATCATAACTACTGCACAGGTTGTCGAAACGTAAGTCCCTGCCAACAACAACAGTCCTTTTCAGGACTACTGTACGTTCACCCGGACGATCATACTCAATCTACTTATGAAATGACTCCTGGGTTCAAACCTTTCACAGTATGTTATATCTTGCAGATATGTTCCAAAAAGCAGTCAACATGCCTCAGATGGCTTCTTGTTATCTTAACGTAGTAATTTACCTACTTCATTTTTCATCGTCGCCAGCCTTTTAAAAATGTCCAACTATTTTGTCAAGCTTTGCACAACAAAAACAGCTGTGCCGGCGGCTTTGTTTGCCGTCGTTCCTCCAATAATTTTTTTACTTAACGGACGATCATGGCGTTGGACTCGTATTCCGACGTTCCCGGCTCCGAGTCCCGCTCTGGCCACCAGCTGGATTTTTTCTCGGTTTTCCCGAGTCCAAATTTTCGACAGATCTTCGGCCACGCGTAATTTGTAAATAGCCAACTGGTTTCACAAACATCCATTATGTTGAATGAATAATATCAGGGATGATGACACCCACAGGTTTTACAGTTCGTAACTATTCAAAATTGTTTTCCACCAACAGAGTTAAAATATTGGAGGACTTGCGGAATTGTCGCCCTGGTTTTGCTTTTTATATGTTTCCTGGTGATTATAGCTCTAATCATCCGTCCCTTCTCGTGCAGGTAGGTTCTTATTCACGTTCATGATCACCTTGTTTCAAAACTACATTCTCAAACTCATTGATAATTCATAAAGAAAATACAAAGCAAATAAATGTTTAATGAGCGTTTGGAAATCAGATGAAAAACTGGTCATTTTTGTATCCTTAATTTCTCCTTCTAAAATCATTTTGTTTGAGAATATCATAATATCAAGCATAATATCATAATATCAAGCATTCGACAAAGTAAATCATCACCTAATGAACCACTTCGAAGTTCGTCTTAAATACTCCGCTGCGCGTCGTATTTTCAACTCTCTTCTCGGTGTTTCATCTAGTGATGAAACACTACGTCTCATGCTTGATATTATTACTTAACTGGCTTGCAGTTTGTATATAAGCGGCGTGATAGCGAGTGCCCCTAAGCTAAGCTACAGACACCCCCGCCTTTTAGTCGGTCTAAAGTAAAGCAAAGTAACACTTTATTTCAACAGGCTGGCCAAATCACCTCAAAGTGATGGTCTCCATGGGTGCCCTGCGTCCTAAAAACTACTTGTCGTTAAGAATTTGAAATTACATTGTAAAAGCCGAAAACACAATTATAGAATAAAATATTTTAACTGTATATTTAAAAGTCCTAAAATAGATGCAAACGTTTATTACACGGTACATGTACATTTTAAAAATCCTTATAATACTATAAGATTTCAAGAAAACTTCATTAAAAGTTACCAAAAAAAAATGCCTCGCTCGGCGGCGGAAAGTCTGTATGCTCTGAGCGTTTGCTGTGTTAACGGGAGTTCATTTAAAATTTTCGAGCCACTAAAAATAAAGACCCTTCTCCCACATTGATAGTCAAGTTAAACCTTTGGTAGAGATAGCCCAAAGGCTGGTTTTCATTAGCAGTCAGAATGGTAAGCGGGGTAGTAAGAGCGCCTATGGTCTTGTGAAAATAAAAAATCGGAGTCATAAGCGCAGTTATAAGCGCGACGGAATCGGAGTCGGAAGAATCAGAACGTTTCATTTTCTTCCAACTTCGCTAACGATCCCGTCGTTTATTTAGTGAAAACCAGATTGTCGGAGTCGGAAGCAGAAGCAGAAGGATAAACCAATCACAAAGCACGTTTTCACGCTTTGTGATTGGTTTAGGTCTTCTACTTCTGAGAATCAGCCTTAATACTGTGTTGTGTAGTGTACTTATGAATGTCCGAAAAATTTAGTAAAATAATATGGTAAAGAAAAGCTTGGAGCAAATGAATTATTGGACAGGGAAAAACAAGTTCATCCCTGTGGTCTGTAAGAAAGATGTCGGCCGATGACTTGGCGGGACTGAAGAGAGCGGACGACCCTGGAAGGAGATTGCAGAGAAACGAGACAAAAAGGCACTTTCCTTATCCACTCGCCTTGTTCCCCTTTTCCTAATTCGCTTGCAAGTAACATGTTCGCCCACGCGCAACTATAGCCTAAAAACTACTTTTCGTTAAGAATTTCAAATTACATTTTAAAAGCTGAAACACAATAAAGGCAGACGAGAGATGTTACGATTTCAGGTAGTACTGTTCGCAATTTCTGCAACCTTTGGTTTTAATAATCTTTCCATGAAAGTCTACGCACGTGAAAATCCAAACAAAAATTGCGAGTTTTTGGTTGGTTTTTAGCGCAAAAAAAAAAAAAACAGTGAAATCCGATGAGTGTAGCATTAATCGAAGGTAAGATCTAGAATTTGATGTTTCTTGAGAGTTTTATTTGGCAGTACCCATTGAGAAAATTCGTCTTTTATCAATTTCAAAATTTTTTGTTTAGTGTTGTCATAGTAATATCGATTTTACTTAAGACTGCATTTTCACAAATTTTAAGCCATAACCAATTTCTGGTGAAAATTTTGCAGCGATCGGACAAGGAAAAAATCACTTTTAAGGCGATTGAAAAATATCGGTATGGTCTCTGAAAAACTGTATCGAAACACCTTATACCCCTTCCTCTGTCATTAAGCTTAATATTTGTTGCGCAAAAGTAGGCTAGCCAATTATACGTCATATTCTATTTGGATTAGACATTACATTTCTTGGATGTGATAATTACTGAGGGACAAATATAACATTTTTCTTTGAGACAAACAGGACAATGATGCATTTGCTATAGAGGACAAATAGAGACAAATATGATATTTTTGATGGTAAAAGACTATCTGAATTGAATAAGTGCCTGAACTTCTTGCTAATAAATTTAAAAAAGCTCCCACTGAATCAACATATTACCAACTGGTACTTGAACTTTTTAAAGGATACAAAACAAAGGGTATCTTGCAACAACTTTGAGTGCGACTGGAAACCGGTTAACAAATGGACAACTCAAGGTAGCGTTAGCGGTCGTTACCTTTTCAACGTCTTTCTCAATGATCTTAACATCACTTTAGGTAATCATGATGCGCTATTTATAAGTACGCTGATGATTCGAAAATTATTGCTCCTGTATGGAAGAAGGTACATTACTCCGATCTGTTAGAGTCACAGTTTTTAGATTCGACGACTACAAATGGAATGTCTTGCAATCCAAGCAAGTGTAAAGAGTTGACGATCATAAAGAGAGGCAACCGCGATCTCTTTTCAGCTAATGGGATGATACCAAGATGTGAAGAAGTAGGGATTTTGTGACAGCAAATTTTCAGCGGACGTGAAGAAAAAACTTATTAAAGATAACAAATCCCTGCATATCCTTAGAACGCTGCGCAAA